TCTAGTGGGAGGTGTCCCTGCTCATGGCAGAGGGGTTGGAACTGGGGGATCCTTGTGGTCCCTTCCAACCCTGACAGACTCTGATCTGTTTTAGCAGAGGACTTAGTGGTGTTGGCTTGATGGTTGGACTTGATGATCTTGAAGGTCCCTTCCAACCTAAAGGATTCTAGGATTCTATGGCTCCTAAGCAGCTTGTGTGATGGGGATTTCTCACCCACCTTTTGCCGTGGACCACGTAGTTTCAGTCACTTGCATGCTAGAGCCCTCCCCTCACAGAACCTGCCTGCTCTGTGTCCCTGCCCATCAGGCCAGCCTGGGCTGGGATGTGTGGGGAAGCTGCTGGCAGATACGACAGCACTGGGAAGGGAGCTGAGATTTCAGGTTGCTCTGGCTGATGGAAACATCCCCGCAGGTCACCCTTAGGCTAGAAATATCAGACAGAGGTGCCTGTGACAGCATCAGCCGAGCCCTTTCTGGGCACTAACCCACTGCCCCCTCCCTGTGCCAACAGGGAACCGGTACCTGCTGGAGTGCAACCCGCTGTGGGCGCGGCTGCTGCAGCACTACCGGCAGCGCCACTGCTCCACCGTGGCCAGGGACATCCTGGTGAGGAGGACCCCGGCCTTCCGACGCTGAGGACGGGCTGGGCCTCCACGAGCTCACCCCTCTCTCCCTGCCCCACGTTCCGTGTGCCTTGGGAAGGACCCCATCTCTCTGGAGGACCCCCCTTTTCCCTGCCCCATGGAGCCGCGGGCAGGGCTTTGGCACCTGGGCTGTAACCGGTGCCACCCCAGGCAGGACCTGCTGGCTCCAGCAAACCAAAAAGCGTTGGAAATGGACGGATGGGCACGTGGCTTTCTTGACAATGATGCTGTTTTGAGAGGCTCAGCAGGGCCCCCATCCCCCCTGCCAGTGACGCTGCGTTTTGGGGACCAAATTCTTCACCGCCCACCGCAGAGGACCAAAGCTTCCACGAGTGCTACCACTCATTTTAAAACCAAGGCCAGGGGATTTTTAAAGCTTCACGTTTCTCAAAGCAGAAAAACAATTGTGGTTTGTTTCGTGGGGTTTTTTTTTATAAGCAAAGGAAGAAAGCAAAGAGAGAGCCATGGAGCTTTTTTCTAGCCCAAACGCTGCTCCCTGAGCGTGCAGATAGCACCGAGCCAAGGCCAAGGTGGTTCTGTAAATAGATGTGCTCTCTCTTTGTACAAAAGAGGTTGTTCTCACCACTAGAAAGTCAATGAAAAGTAAGGACCACTCCTACCAGGAAACCCTGTGGATTTTAAACTGAATTTTATTTGAAATCTCCTCCTCTCAGAGCCCCCCCCTGCCCTACCCCGGATTATTTCTTTTTTAAAGCTGCTTCTAATTTATTAACTTTTAACTCTGTGAATCTGTTTCACAGCCTTATGGCCTGAGGCTTTAAGAGCAGTGATGGAAACGTGTTAAATGTACCACGGCGTGTATGTGTATAATGGTTTGGGTGGTTTATTTTTTTAATTTTAAGTAGCCAAACTGCTGTGAACGGGGAGCTGTGACTCGCTGGGGGAGGCGCCTTTTGCCCAGCACTGTGTGGCTGCTGGAGAGATGCTCTCTGCTGAATCATGGAGCTGCCTTTTGACACGTTTTTGAGGGAGAGGTGTCTTCTGTCTCAACGCTGAATGTATGAAGTGCCTGTCTCAGCTCTCCCCCAGCCCACACGCGTGGGATGGAGCCAAGGTGCAGTCAGCGTGGGGTTGCACCACGCCCACGCCGTGCAGGGACACGAGTCCTGAGTCCTCCCTGGCCTAAGCACTGCAGCAGGGATGAGTTGTGTCCTGTGTTTGCCACAGAAAATGCATCACGGCTCTGTCCTTGCGTGGAGGAATGTGCAATAAGAAAGAGGTGTGTGTGGAGAAGTCCTTATTTAACGTTGTGTTTCTTCTCGTGACTCGCTGTTCGACTTGACTCAAGAACCTGTGAGGAAGTTTTGTTGTTCTCTTCCTTATTTTAAACTACCTTCCTGCACTTCTGCATTTTGATGGGTTTGATTTGTGTTCTAGAGACCACCCAGACTTGCTCTTGTCTTAGCATAATAACAGGCACGTGGCTGGTGATACCAAGAGGAACAAAAGCCCATAGGAAATACCTGCTGCTGGTTCTAAAGATGGAAGATGTAAAAATTCATTGTTCCTCTTTGAAGCCATCCCAACTGGGGTCTTAAAAGGTTCTTCACCAGTCTGATTTTGCAAACCTGATGGCAATCCCAAAATAAGCTTGTATGGGAGTCATTTTGTAGGCTACTGAAATGCAGCCACGGATCTCCAGGTTGATGTGGGGAACTGCAAAAGGTGCTGGAATTGTTGGGATAAATACTTTGGCATGGTGCTGGCATCATTCTAACTGGTCACCCTGGTCCCTTTAGAACCAGTGGATCTCATTTTCATGATGGAATGTAAGTGAAGAGTCTCTTGGCTGTTTTGTTAGCTGGTTATTTCCTTACATGTAACACAAGGGAGAAGACAAGTTTGGCCACCTGCTTGTGGAGACCAAGAAAAACACCTCAGAAAGCATCTCCCTTTGCCCTCAGCTGGCAACAAGTGTTTAGCTGCTGCTCCTCGGAGGGTAAAGCTTGGACTGAAAAGCTTTGCTTGGCCACCTCTGTGTTGCTAGACAACATATGCTGGTTTTTTGGGGTTATTTTGGGGTTTTTTTTCCCCTGAAGGTGCATTTGGTAACTGGTGTTTAGGAAACACTGCCCTGGACCAGCCAAGCAGCAGTACCAGCCAGGCTGGACTCTTGAGCTGTGAGCAGGTACCTGTAGAGCTGGTCGTGGAGCTGCAATAGTCAGGGATGGCAGAAAGTGCAATTAATCCAACTTATTATAGACTGTTAGTGACAGCTGAATACCGTGTTCTTGTCCTCATGCTCATGGAGGGAGAAGCAGAGAAAAAAAGCTCCAAGTAGTCTGGTTTCATTTGCACACAGAGCTTTGAATTTACTTGGGGAAGAATTTTCTGTTCAAGCACATATTCTTAAAATTTTTTATAAAAAAAAACAACCAACCAAAACCACCAAAGCTTTGGCAATCCCAGCAGGAGGCCCCTGGCAGCACAGGGCATCTGCCCGGGCACAGGCGCCGCGTTTTCCGCAGCTCACAGACAGGAGAACTTTGCTGCTGGACACAAACCTTGGCTCGTCCAGGAGGAGAGCTTTAATTTCCTTGGCACGAGCTCAAGGCCAAGGTGAGCATGGGGAACGTGTGCTGGCAGCCCAGGATGGTCCCTGGGGTTGCAGCCATCAGGGCACAGAGGGGAGGATGTCCAGGAGAGGAGACCTCGGCTCCCTGGGCTGGGTTGGGAGGATTTGGACCGACTGGTGGAGGACAATCAATTTACTGCAATAAATCACTGGGCTTTGGAAAATAGAGATGAAAGGTGAAGTGTCACAAAGTGTAAATTAAGGAACGTTAAACACAGCAGGTTTTTATCTTTTCTATGTCTGTGACTTGCAGAAAACCTCAAATGCCGTTTTGGATACAAATATTTTTACCTGCTTCTACGTTTGTAACAAGGAACCTCAACATTCCCTTTTTTTGATATTTAAGCCATAGTTGTAAAAATTATTTGATTTTGCTTAAATAATAAATTTTATTACTAAAATGTCTGCTTACCTCATGGTTTGATTGGAATCTGTGTGGGGGCAGCTACACTTGGACTGAACTAAATGGTAGAAAACTACTAAAAAGAAAACATTAACTGCAGTGCATGGCAGAAAAGATTGTTTTCTACTTACTGGTTGTGCATGGTGAGGGTTAGGGGGTGATTGGGGTTTTTTTTTGTTGATTTTTTTGGGGGGTGTGGGGTTTTTCCTTGTGTGGTGGGGTTGTTTTTTAATCAGAATGGTCTTTTCAGCCACTGTAGAGGGGTGAGCATGAAATCATGCTTAGGTACTTACAAAGCACAGGGCATAGAGGGTGAGAGGAACAAGAGATGGAGATGTTAGGATGAATTTAGGATTCATCTCATGTGTTTTGGAAGAAGGACATGGGGGAAAAAATAACTTGGGGTATAAAAAGCCAAAACAACATCATTGCAAGGAGCTGGCACCGGGCATCTCAGCTCAGCTGCCTCCTGGGCTGCCCCCCCAGCAGTGTGGGCAAAGGGCAGGGAGGGGCTCCTGCCCCTCTGCCAGCTCTGGGAGACCCCCCTGCAGTGCTGGGGCAGCTCTGGAGTCCTCAGCACAGCAGAGCCAGGGAGCTGCTGGAGCAGGGCCAGAGGAGCCCCAGCAATGCCCCGAGGGGGGAACCCCTCTGCTGGGAGCCCAGCAGGAGAGAGTTGGGCTGGGGCAGCTGAGAGGAGAAGGCTCCAGCTGGGGAGACCTGCTGGGGGCTGCCAGGGGCCTGGCAGAAAGCTGAGGGGGGGGGAACTTTTGAGCAGGGGCTGTTGGGACAGGACAGGAGGTGATGGTTTTAGACCAAGAGACATTTAAACTAAGGAGAAGAGAGAAGTTTTTGGCACCCCCATATGTCAGGGGGGAGAACTTGGAGCAACAAAACCCAAAAAGCTGGTGGGTTGAGATAAGGGCAGTTAAATAAAGCAACACAGAGAGAGGGGAGACAACGATGATAATACCAGTGAAATAACATATCAAGCAGGTAATCCTGACCCCCTCACCCGAGACACAGCAGCTCCCCCTGCTCCACCCCTCCCCTTATATAGAGGGCAGGGGTGATGTCAGTATGGTACCAAATACCCCATTGGCTGGGGTGGTTGTTCTCACCACCTGTGTCACCA